GGGGATTAAGATGGGAGTTAACTTTCAAGCTACCCAGGATACTTTGTATCCAGGCTCAAAGGCCTCTAACCCAACTTGTTCTGTGCTTACTGACTGAGATGGTGTTGGAGTTTCCTTTCTAAGGCTTCTGGCAATAGGATGGTGCAGGGAATGAGCTTTTTCTCAAGGGCAGCCTATAGCCTCTTGCCCTACAAGAGCACATAACAAACACTGTGCTAAGAGGACCCACCCTCGGCTGCTGAGACAGCCTCTACAACTGCGGCCCATCTTTGGCACCCGGGCCGCCTTGGCACACCTCAGAGAAAGTGTGGGCTGATGAAACGCTGAGGGAAATTAAAATATGGGGAGTTTCAGCCTTTCCTGCACAGAGCTCTGATCAGGGCCGTGCACAGCAAGGAGTTACCTGACTTGGGCAGCACCACTAACCTTTCTGTGGCTGCACATACTTGAGCAGTGACGCTTCTCGTTTTGAACACTAGTAGCTTTGTTCTGAAGCTCATCAGAGCGGGCCCCTCCTCCCAGCGTCCCACTGGAGTGACGCCATGTTCTTTTACTTTCCAGAACCGAATGCATGAGAGTATGAAACTGTTCGACAGCATTTGTAACAACAAGTGGTTCACGGACACGTCCATCATCCTCTTCCTGAACAAGAAAGACCTGTTCGAGGAAAAGATTCAGAGGAGCCCCTTAACCATCTGTTACCCAGAGTACACAGGTGAGCCAGGCTACGAGGAATGGAGGGGCCTATAAGGAATGTGGGTAAATGCTGGAGCACTCGCTTGTCCTCATGATGGAAGCCTCCACCACAGTAACCTTTGCAGCCACCTCCCTATTGATCATTCCCTGTTCTGTTCGCTCCCTCTGTGGCACCGGCATTGGCCACTGTCGGCAGACAGGATACTGGGCCGGATGGACCTTTAGGCTGACCCAGTGTGGCCGCTCTGATGTTCTATTCCAAATGGCTTGCAGGCTGGTCCTTCTCCCTACTCCCCCTCTGGCCTTTTAAAGGTCACAGCAAGAGGATCGTACCTCCTTCTGGTGTGATCCTCTTGGGACCTCGCCCAGCTCATGGGGCCTCCATGCATGCCTGTCATTTTGTTTCAATCCCTACTTCCCTTCACTAGTTTAGCGTAGTGTGGGACACTTGTTTTGCATTAAGTACCAGTGGCCATTGACATGGAGGGGCTAATGGTACGATTGTCGCTTGCTAAAGCATATGATTGCACGAAGCTTAACTTAGGCATGAAAGACTCTTATCCAGTTCTTTGCTGGGAGCTGCCAGCTAAGGTCAAGTGTCTCATTTCCCAGGCTCGAATACATACGAGGAGGCGGCTGCGTACATTCAGTGTCAGTTTGAAGATCTGAACCGAAGAAAAGACACCAAGGAGATCTACACCCACTTCACTTGTGCCACTGACACAAAGAACGTGCAGTTTGTGTTTGATGCTGTTACAGATGTAATCATTAAAAACAACTTGAAGGAATGTGGACTCTACTAAGGGAGGACGTGGGAGGAAGGTAATGCTGAGCTATCTGGCTGCTCTGAGTTCTAGAATTGCCCTACAATTGGAATGTGCGTTTGCTAACACTGTTCTTCTTTCAGGTTTTAAGATGTGGCGTTTTGAGAAGCCGACTGTTTCTTCGCTGCCTCGTGGACAGCTGCAAGCATGAACAGGACCAGGGCGATGAAAACAGCATGCAAAATTCTTGCATTCCTTAGCACAATTTTCTGTAGTAGGGACCTTTTTATGGATCTGGCATGTTGAAGTTAAAGATCTCAAAATGGAAAAACTGTTAAGTGTGATTTGATCATCCAGGCAGCAGTCGGATTGCGTAGTCTCAAATGTGTACAGCTCTTGTGAAATTGAGGTGCTGGATTCCAGAACTTCAGTATGTAGCTTTTCTTTCTTTGATTAACAAGCCACCACTAGTCTGGTTTTAAGGTTTTTCCATCAAGAAAACTAACCGTACTAAATTTTATTTCTTTCTTTGCAAATGAATCTTGTTTTAAAAAAAACAAAACAAAAAAAATCACTTAACTATGCACATGATGTGACCAGATCATGCAGAAAGTATTCCTCTTAGTAGGAACTCTTTGTTTTTAACGCTTGATATGGTCAATTTAATATTTCTGCAACTATTTAAAAGATCCATAGAACTCTTAGGACTGTAGCTTCGGCTTCTTCTGATGTGATGTTATCATCCTGCTACAAATACCATAAGGCTTTTGAGAGGGGGAATGGAGGCTTCTGCAGCAGGATAACCCGTCTTAACGTGTCGTTGGGGCTTACCTGGGTTATGCTGATAACCAGAGCAGAGATTTGTATTGGGGGGTAGTAAGCTTTAAAGACAGCTTCTTGGGTGAAGTTTTACCTGGGGGTGCTTCCATCTAAAGGGACAAACTGCTAAATTCCAAACTGGATGGAGCATACGTGCTGCTACAAAGCTACTAAATCAACCACTTAGATTCTGGTGTGTTTATTTTTTCCTGATCTAAAGCAGCAGGAGAACTTGTAAAAGGTGCACCTTGTTCTGCATTTTACCAAGGCCTTTTCTGTTCAGAGACTTCTAAACTGTATTGACAGCATGCCTTTACTTTGTAAATGTGGTGCCAAATTCCTGTTTGTCGTTTGTTTTTACTGTAGTAACGATCTTAACAAGTCAGTACATTCCGTTGCTGAAACCATTGCATTATGAGATGTTTCCCAATTTTGTCACGTGTACAGTTTCAGTCTGTTAGTGTTGGCAGTATTAAAATGGTGAGTAAACAGCTTAGCCTTTTTCTTCAGTTTATTCTAACCATTTCTGGAAGTGTGCTGCCGTATGATGTGCTTTATCCATATCCGTCTGCTTGCAAAAAGAAGATCCACTGCTAGCTGCATGTAAGGTGGGAGCAAGCGGAGATCTACTAACTCTCCACTACAGGGCCTCTAGACTTACTGGTGTCTTGTACAGAGTTGTCCGCTGCTGCTTGCGGCTTGGTTGTATGGCCATGGCGCGAGATCAGCTGATGTCCTATGTCGCTCATCATGTCTGCCGGTTGATGGCAGGTCTCTTGCTAGAATCCTAGTTCCTCACTTGAATGTAGTGGGGGGAAAAATAATGCCCAGGGGCAAGCCACCCTGTTACACCCCCCTCTCCCCTGCCCCGTATGCTGGCTGGAACACTTGTCAGGAAGTACCGTACCACTCCCCTGCTAAGCATTTTAATCTCCTACACCAGGGGTCTCCAACCTTTCTAACCACAAGACGCTTTTTCAATGCAAGTGCTATGTAAGATCTACCCCAAACCCAAATCCCCTTGCCCCACTTCCATCCCGCCCCTTCTTTGAGGCCCTGCCCCTACTCCAGCCCTTTTCCAAGGCCTCACCCTGCTCACTCCATTCCCTTCCTCCCCCATCCTCACTCACTTTCACCAGGCTGGGGCAGGAGGTTGGGATGCAGGCTCTGGTCTTGGACTGAGGAGTTTGCAGTGTGGGAGGGGCTGTGGGGTTAGCCCAGGGTGGGAGATCGGGGTCCAGGAGGAGTTTCGGGGTGCAAGCTCTGGGAAGGAGTTTGGGTGCAGGGGGACTCACGTCTGGGGCAGGAGGTTGGGTGTAGCAGGAGGTTCAGGGCTGAGCCGGGTTCAGGAAGCAGGCTGTGGCTAGGCACCATTTAACTGAGATGGCTTCCGGTTAAGCTTGCTCCTGCCCTGGCCCTGTGTTGCTCCTGAAAGCAGCTAGCATGTACAGCGGTGGCTCCTTAGCACTGTGCTGCCCCTCGTCTACAGGCACTGAGTCCACAGCTACTGGCCACGGTTCCCTGCTATTGATCCATGGGAGCTGCAGGAGCAGTGTCCGCAGGCAGGGACCGCATGTGGAGACCCCCTGCTCTGCTTCTCTCGGGGTGCAGAGACATGCCAGCCACCTCCAGGAGCTGCAGTTACCACAGGGATTCCAGCTATGACACGTTGAGGCATTTGAGAATTCACTAAAAGAATTACATTTAAGCCTGAGAGAGAGGGGAAAATTGTGAAATGCACAACAGCCAAACCAGATACTGCTTGCAAATTGGGATAACAGCTACTCCCCACCTATGGGTTGGGTGGGGAGGAGAGTGACAGACAGTGGGGGACACTTACGTTGTCAAGCTCTCTCCATCCCCTCCTCTGTGGAGATAGGGTAGAACAGTGGTCCCCAACACGGTGCCTGCAGGCACCATGGCACCCGCGGGGGCATTTGTGTGTGTCCAAGTGCTCGGGGCTGGCCTGGCCCTGGGCACGTGGCGCATGGTGAGCGCCGCGGATTGGGCGCGTGGCGCTTGGGGGGAGCGCTGGTGCCTAGCAACCTTAAATGGTTGGGGACCACTGGGGTAGAAGCATGGGGGGGAGGGGGACGGGACGACAGTGACATCAGCCTCTCCTCCCATCCCCCTCCCTCATTCTGCACAGCAAACAGGAGACTTCTGGGGGGCAGCTCCAAGGCAGAGGGCAGGAGCAGCATGATGATTGAGGGGCAACTGAAAGGCCCCTGTTCCATAGCTTCCTGGCCAAATCAGTCAGACCTGTCAGAGGCTCCAAGATCTCCCAGTTGGTGTCCACTGTCCTAGAGGAAGAACCTCAGCTGGTTCAAGCTGCCGTTATCCCACACTCAGCGCCTTGCATGACATCCCTAATGTACGGCAGGGTGCAGGGGTTGGCTCACGTGATTCTGGAAATCCCCGTTCGCTATTGGTGTGTCTCTCTCCTTTTAGCCAGACCTTGTAGGTTTCACCGCACCCTCACAGTGATGCTGGGAGTAGCCCCTCCGTCCGGAAAGCACATCTATGCTTTGTGCCTCCGCAAGGGGCTGTGCTCAGAGGTTTATTTCAGTGAGACCAAGGGTGCTCGGCCCCTTGCAGCCTCAGACTGTTAAAGAGGATTGGGAGGGGGCTGAGTGCAACTGGCGCCCACCCTACCAGCCAAGTGACGGGATGGTCTATAGCACTGTCAGACAGCCCCTTGGCACCACTTTGGCCACTGTGCACCTGCAGCTATTGGTGGTCGCACTGGGAGCTCTGTGTGTAGCAGCTACAGGACAAGGTCCGGTATGTGGCACACAAACCTATTGCGGCCTCTGAGCATTCCTGTGGCTTATGTTTTCAGCATCAAGAATTTAATCTTGAGGTATCATTGTTTTCCACACAGCTAGCCCAGAACAAAGGACAGCCACCCGATCCATGCACGTGCCTTTATTTTGGGTTTACTACTGCTTAGTTGATGCCATAGAAGAGATTATCTGCAGCAAACATGAAGATGCAAGTAACCATGTCTCTAATGATAGCACAGACTTATTTACACTGGAGAGGACATACAGCTCTAAATAGCAGACTGGGAATCTTTTCCGTAACTGTTTCCTCTTTGTGTCTGACCTGCTCTCCCCCCACCGCTGTGAAATGATTGCCAGACCCCAATCAATTCAGCTGTCTTGCTGTCCTGTGATCTGCTACTCTCAGCATCCAGGAGACAGCAGCTAGCATCTGTGCCACTACACTGGATAGAGAGAACAGGTGGGGGCTCATCAGCCTTCCAGGCTATCTAATACAGAGAGAAAATTGGATACTAGAAATAAATTCAATCGGCTACTTAAGGCTGTGGGGACAAATTGCAGCAGTTGCAGGGAGCAGCAAATGTTAATTTTTCCAGTGGAAGGTTTGAAAGCGTCTCAATTCTTGGGGGCTTTATTTACAGCTGGTAAATGGGTTAACTTCTAAACCAAGGACTGAGGGATTAGTTACATTTGAGGTTAAACTTAAATCTGGTCCATTGTCCACTCCCAGTGATATCTTTCAGTTCACACCACTATGGATTTTTTTAAGGGTTTCCACAAAATAGACCGGGCTGGGGTGGGGTTTTCTCTTGCGTTCCACAGAAGCATTGCTTTCACCGTCTTCCGTGGAGGTTTGTAATGTTGTTTACATGCGGAGATGTAAAGCTTAGTATAACGTATCCATTTGATGTACTGGTGACTACTTGCTCTTCTGTTTCCGAGCATGCTCTTCTGTTTCTCTTATAAGCAGCAGTGCTACAGACTGCAGAGAAACTTTTTAAAAGAGGAGGGCATCACAGCTGGGCTGCAGGAAGTTTAGCCTCATTGGATGGCTTGTTCTTGGAGGGATGTGGCTTGTGCACCGGGCGGGTCTTAGAGTGTGGGTTCTTGAGTCATTTTTGCTTAGTCCTCTGGCTCTGCTCAGCAGAACAGTGATGCTAAATGGAAGTTGACTTCTTTCCCTGCCATCTCCCTTAAGAAAAGAGAAAGGGAAGTTATAACACTTTAGAATTAGGACACTTTAAGAGAATTAAATCCAGTGCCCAAATGCCTGCAGAGTATTGATTTTGAGGGCCAGATTCTGATTTTATGCGAAGACGAGAGCTAAGTAAATACATCTGTCAAAATTAAGGATGTTAAGTATCATGTAATTCACTAATCAAATAGCTGACATATTTTTGCATCAACTATTTGATTAGTCAATAGGGTGGCGCTGCCCCTTCGAAACACCACGGCAGCACTTCAAAGGGGCAGTGCCGCATGGAGACCGGGGCACCCCCCAGCTGACCCTGGGCTCCATGCGGTGCTGCCACTTTGAAGTACCCCGCTTATCCCTCCCTTACTGCCTCTATCCGATGGGGCAGGGGGGAGAAGCGACTAGTCGACTAGACTAGGGATGTGAAGGAGAATCTGACTCGGACAGGAGCAAACAATGTGAAAATATAACGGTGTAAAATATAAAGTTTACAACAATTCTGCATCTAACCTAGGGCTGTTAAATACCAGTTAATTAAATAGTTGATTAACCTCATGGATTATCAGTTACTCAAGTATTCTATAGTCCCTGGGCTAGGGCTGGCAGCCAGTGGGCTCTGGCCCCACTCCCAAGGAGTCCCTGCCACTCCCCGCTGCTGCCTCTATCAGACAGCAGCACGGGGTGCCAGGCAGGAGCTGGTCTGCAAGAGGAGCCAGTTTAAAAACCAGCTCTCCTGGCAGACCAGCTGCCTGTCGCCCTGCACTGCTCCCTCTGATACAGGCAGCAACACAGGGTGGCAGCAGCTCCTGTCTGGGGTGTGGGACTGAGTTCCCAGACCCAGCACTGCCTGGCTCCTAATATACTTTAAATGCAGAGCTGCGGCAGGGGTAGGTCCTGGACCCCGTGCAAGCCAGGACTGAGCTGGCCAGCCTGTTAAAAATGAACTCGCAAGGGGGAGGAGGGAAATGCACATAGACTGTAACATTAACCGATAAGCTTTTGCTTCATCAACATCCCTATCAACTGCTCCTAGCGGAGCTGCTCTCAGCAGTGCTTGTAACTCACTATAGTACTAAACCTGCCAAGCAACTGTACAGCACAACGGCTTCGAGTGGCCGTTCCCACACTTAGAAACGGCCCTCTGCCCTGCCAGGAAATGTCGCAGTGAACAATACAGAGGTGAGATCACCGCTTCCCTCCTGCTGCAAGCGAGGGTGTGCTTGCAGTGAAGCAGGCTAGCTGCCTTTCATGCCCCTGCCTTCCTCTTTGTGTGCATGGAGAGGGAAAGCTCCCAGCTTGGCTCTGTGGGAAATAAAGCATTGGAAGATGCTGGCTGGATGTTTTGGAGCAGGGGGGCAGAGAATGCTTCAGGGCCTTTCTGGGCAGTTACCACAAATGTTCATCAAACTCAGACTGTGTTTGTGAAAAGCAGCAGGGTAGGTGGCCAGGGCCTGTCTGACGCTGTGCATAACTCGTCCCTTGTCCTGTCCCTTGTCCCATCCCCAAGAGCACGCTACTCCGGCTAGGTTCTGTTTCAGCTCCGGTGCGCGCTGAGTGCTAGAACCGTCGCCCTGAGCCGCAATAGGAATGGACCCGATTATAATACTGCTGCAGATTACCCAGTGTGCTGTGTTGTGCGGGGTGATCGCCCGGACTATAATTCGGCTTGGTCTTGCCTGACTGCACGGGAGCCGGGCGGTATTCCAAGGGGCAGCACCTCTCCCCCGCCAAGGGCAAACAGTTTCGTAGTGCAATGCCTTAAAATGCTTGCTACCCAGCCAGACCTTCTAGTCCACTTTGGCCAATCAGATTCAGCTAAAAAGCCCACCTGCCCGCTGAGTAGGGAAATCAATCGCTGCAGGGGCTGGCAGGCAATAAGCAGTTAGCGTCACGGGTTCCTTGAGAGGTGGCTGATGCTCGCAGCCCCCTCCTGTTCCCATAGACAAAATAGGAAGAGGATGCTGCAGCGGGGAGGGGCAGGATGAGCCAGTATTTAGTTGTGACTTAGAAGGGCAAATAGAGCAAAGGTTTCCTACGACCTCGGTGCGCTATCGCTGCCTCCTCCCCCTCTGCTAATCAAGTGCTCCGGTGTGGCTTACAAGCTCTCCAGTTCTCGGCCTGCCGTGCCCATACCTGCGGTGCTGGCGTCTAGAAGAGACCACAGTCCTTGAGGTTCTCTTTGATGATGACATCCGTGACTGCGTCGAAGACGAATTTGACGTTCTGTGTGTCTGTGGCACAGGTCATGTGGCTGTAGATTTCTTTCACGTCTTTGCGCATGTTGAGGTCAAGGAACTGATTCTTGATGTAATTTCCTGCATCTTCAAATGTATTGGGGCCTGTTTGGGGAAGGAAGTAGCTCTGCTGATTGGGAAGAGCACCGGTTAGAAACTCCTGCAAGCCCGTTGTCGTGGGCTGGGTCGGATTAAGTGTGTGCTGCCCAGGGCAGGACTGTTTGCTTTCCACACACAGTGACGAGCGAGCAGACCTTTCCTGGGGTGGCTCAGCCTTCAGCCAAACCTCTTTGCTCCTACGCGGACAGATCCGCCCCTTTTCCCTTCTGCAGAGTCCTAACTTCATCCCAATGAGATCCTAAGAGCACTGTTTGCTCTGATCCTGGGCTGTGCCCCTCCCTGCTTCCCACTGCCTCTGGGTAGACACTTCTTTCTAAGACTCGGGTGCAGATGTCATGGGACCTTACACGCTCCCATGGAGAGGGGCAGGGCAAGTTTTTAGACCAACTCACCGTCGTAGTCTGGGAAGCAGATGCTGAGGTGGACTTTCTTGATCTTTTCCTCAAAGAGGTCCTTCTTGTTGAGGAACAGAATGATGGAGGTGGCCGCGAAGAACTTGTGGTTGCATATGCTGTTGAACAGGTGCAGGGACTCGTGCATGCGGTTCTGAAGACAGACAAAAAGACCATCTCGCGTGGACAGACATTTCCGAGGCGGGGCTGTTGGAGAGACCCGGCTCGTTCTGCTTTCAGAAAGGAGGGGCAGGCCAGTCCCCACTGGGTCAGACGTGTACTGAAAGTGCTCTCACCCCACCCCCCACAACCAACTTTCTGTGGCTTGTGAACAAGGGCGAGTTTCTTCCTCAAACTCGGCTCCACAGCAGCCGCTGCCCACACTGCTAATCGTACCGACGGTGACGCTCAGCAAAGCACCTGTTTTCTGCAGTTGTAAAGGTCAGGGCTGCACTTCCTACCGTTACAAGGGTGAAACCTTTGTGGGTCATAAAGTGATGATGTTTCCTGTTTGTCAGAGCCCAGATAAGGACTCCAAGGGGTAATCAGCACCCCTCTGTAGTGCCTCTGTTGCAGTTTCAACAGGGCTCCGAGTGTCAGTTCTCAACTGAAAAAGCACCAATTCGCTCCACTAAGCTCTGTAGAGCAGAAACAGCTCTGTGCTCAGCCCAGGGAGGGCTTTATTAGCCTGGGCCCCCAGACACCCCAGCTGTGCTGACTGATGGTGGGAAGGAGAGAGAGACACCCCTGGCAGGCAGGGGGAAGCACAGGCCCAAATTCAGCTGCTGGAAACCAGCAGCCCAACCCTCTGCCTTCAGCAAGTCTCTCGCAGCCTCTTCTGGTGTGAGAAGCACCTGCCTTGCCAAAGAGGCGGCCTGGGAGCATGTTTATGGGAGCTTGGCGAGCGGTTTGGCAGGGTTGTTAGAGGAGACTTTTCACCCTGAGACTCTTCAGGTTCCTGCTCCTAGAAGCCAGGGGGCTTGGCAGCCCTCTGGTCCCTCGCTGCACCAGAAGCAGCGGCCTCTTCGTGGATCATCACGACAGCTGCTGGAGCGTCCAGCGTGAAGGACTCGGGCCCCCCCCCCCCCCCCCCCGCCTCCCTCCCCCCCCCCTGCCTCGTACCCTAGAGCTACCGTCACATCCCAAGCTGCTGCAAGGCAGGTGTGCGGGTGGCAAAGACTGGGCCCTGGGAAGCCGTGGGGCTCCCGTTACTAAACCGACGACCAATTATAGAATCCCAGGGCAGGAAGAGACCTCAGGGGTCATCGAGTCCCACCCCCTGCCCAAAGCAGGACCAACCCCAACTCCATCATCCCAGCCAGGGCTTTGTCAAGCCGGGACCTAAAAACCTCTGGGGATGGAGATTCCACCCGCTCCCTATGGGCCCTGGGAAGCCGTGGGGCTCCCGTTACTAAACCGACGACCAATTATAGAATCCCAGGGCAGGAAGAGACCTCAGGGGTCATCGAGTCCCACCCCCTGCCCAAAGCAGGACCAACCCCAACTCCATCATCCCAGCCAGGGCTTTGTCAAGCCGGGACCTAAAAACCTCTGGGGATGGAGATTCCACCCGCTCCCTAGGGAACCCAGCCCAGGGCTTCCCACCCGCCATGGGAAATAGTTTTTCCTAATCTCCACCCTAGACCTCCCCCACTGGGATGCTGTGGGAGGAGGCACTGAACAGCTGTTCTTTCTCCCATGAGCCAGCACCTCTGTGTCTCCCTCCTGTGGCTGCTGCAGGTGCCTGAGGATAGGACCTTCAGAAATCCCCCATTTCCCCCCTCTGATCTCTACACTGCCCTCCCCAGAGCCAGCTCCCTGGTGCTGCAGGCCAGCTGGCCTCGGAAGCTCTTCCTTAAGCCTGGTGCGAGCTGGCCCAGGTCTCGGCCGTGAGACTATCACAAGCTGCCGCCAACTCTGCCCCAGCGACTGCGAGCGCTCGCCAGGCGCGACGGGAGGCAGAGAAGGCCTGTCCTCTGCCCAGAGGGGGAACCGAGCCGGGGGGTAGGTCAGGTGATTTGCCCAGGGCCACACAGCTCTCAGGTGAGACCTGAACTCAGCTCTCTCATGCCCTGTGGTCTAGGCCTTTCTTCCTACTCCAGGCACTTGGACGGGCGGTCTTGCTCCTGGCGTTTCTCTTCCGACGGGGGTTAATCCGATGTCAGGCGAGCGCTACTTTGCTTCCTGCATTTGCGTCAGAGCAGCACCATGTAAACTGACGTTCAAGGCTCTTCCCGGCTCTGCTGCCTGCTGGCGCCTCCCTGCGTTCCAGGCAATCCAGGCACTGCACCAAGGGCGCGAGTCGGCCTATGCTCGGCAGAGGGGGTGGCGCTCACATTTTGCCCAGGCGAACTGGGCGTTTTTCTGTTTGCTGGCTCTCTGGAAAAGGGAAGAGCAGCCGCCCAGCCGGGCTGCAGGGGCAGAGCAGTGGCCACGGTGCCAACAGCCCGTTGGGATGCGGAGGGAGAACTCACCACTTCATCGTCCTCTACCAGCACCATGTCGTAGGCGCTCAGGGCTCCGCAGAAGATAATGCAGGTCACGCCCTCGAAGCAGTGGATCCACTTTTTGCGCTCCGACCTCTGTCCTCCCACGTCAAACATCCTGGGGAAGGAAGAACACTGCTGCCATCAGACAGCCCCTGACCCCAGACCAGTGAGAATGGGAACAGTCCCAGCACCCGCCAGGACCCCAGCCCCCACCCTCTCCCGGCTGGGATGTGGCAGCTGTTTACACGATTGCAGAGGCCAGATGGTGTAAACTGACGGGGCAATGGTGCTCTGCTGCTTTACGCCAGCCACGAAACTCGGCCGTTAGGCTGGGATGGGACGGACACGCTCCCAGCCAATGGAAGTAGGACAGCATTATCCCAGCTGGAATTTGGCCAGGATGCCTGGGTGGGTGCCGCCGCCAGAGGCCACCAAAGGGGGAGGGACACGTGCGTCGGTACCCACCTGAAGTTCAGATCTTTGACCGAGAACTTGGTCTCTATGATGCCTGTGGTCTTCACTCGAGAGCGTAGCACGTCCTGCTCATTGGGGAGGTAATCAGGGGCTGTGATCCGATCCAGCTGGTTCAGGTAGCTAGGCAGGAACACAGAGAGCTGTCGGGAGGAGTCCCAGGAGGCAGGGCATGGAGCTACCGGGCCTGGGGTCCCCAGGGAGCTGGGCTCATGGGAGAGGGTGGGGGAAGGCCCAAGCGATCCCGTAGCCTGAGGGGGAGGAGACGTCCTACCCACCATAGAGCAGGAGAATCTCAGCTGAGCAGCCCGAGTCAAAGCATGCGCCTGGCCGCCTGACTTAGGGCACGGCCCAGGCCCCTTGGGCCGGGCGCTGAGCCAGC